TGCATTACCCTTCTCTCGCCCTGACTCCCAACAAAAACCTTGGGCCATTTCACAGTCAGCGGGAGAGTGTGGGACACCCTTACCCACACCTGAAACCCAGCTCCGCCTTCCCCAGAAGCAGGGCCCCTGCCTGTTCTCCCTCCCAGCACAGTGCCCTGGCACTGGGATCGGCCCAGTCTCCATTTGTTCCACTAATGAGTCTTAAGTGTTTGGCTTGGGCTCCTGCCAGTCTTACTCCTGCAGGGAGGAAGGGATGGGAGAGAATGGACAAAGCTCATGCCAGCTCAGCTCAGCTGGGCCTGGGAGCACTGGGACCAGGGCTGCCTGGCACAGACCCACCCAAGGGTACAGGCAGCCACCCACTTGAGGCCCACTGCCTTCCTTTACCCTCCACTTGAGGGGCTTCCCAAAGTGCAGATTCCTGGGCACACCACCCAGATTGTAATCCTGGGGTGGGCCCAGGAATATGCATTTTAAATAAATACCCCAGGAGATTGTGATACATGGTGAAGGTTAAGAACCACTGCTCAAAGAAGGGCATAAAGAAATATCATGATGTGTAAGAATGAATATACTAATTTAAAAATTTAATTTAAAGAAAAGCCAGTGATAGGGATTCCGGGCTAGCTTGTGAAATTGTGTATATGTGCACTTCTCTAGAGAGTCCACAGTTTCAGTCAAATTCTCAAATTAGGCTGACAGTTCCCAATACCGCTTTAAAAAAAAAAGACTAACAAGCACTGGTAAATGAGATGACCTCTAAGTTCAGTTATAGCCCTGACCTGCTACTACTCAGTGACTCTGTTCAGGCCCCCATCAAGGCAGGGCCACAGGGCCCTCTCCTTTCACCAAATCTCAGGGAAAGACAATGCTGGCCCCAAAAGAGGCTGGCAAGTCTGGGAAAACCAGGATTACAGAGAACTAGGCTGAGGGTCAATAGGGTGCCAGCAGCCAGGACCTTGGGTAAGGAATGACAGAGCCTAGGGGACATTCCAAAATGCCTAAGCTGAAAGGCTCTCAGGAATCAAAGAAACCAAGCCCCTGGCAAGAAAGGTAAATTTCCACCAATATCCAGTCCTTTCTCTCTGGCCACACAGCTAAACTACATTCCCATCTCCTCTACAGTCAGTGGGGGCCATAAGGTGAATTTTGTCCAGTGGAATGTGGGGTCTCCGTTGTGGTCTGAATGTTGTGTCCCCTCAAAATTCATATGGTGAAAAAAAATTTTTTTTTAAAGATGACTGGTAAGGGGATCTTAACCCTTGACTTAGTGTTGTCAGCACCATGCTCTCTGAAGGGAGAGCTAACCAGCCATCCCTATATAGGGATCCAAACCCATGGCCTTGGTATTATCAGCACCACACTCTCTCCCAAGTGAGCCACGGCCTGGCCCCTCATATGGTGAAATTCTAACCCTCAAAGTGATGGTATTAGGAGGCGGGGCCTTTTGGAAAGTGATTAGGTCATGAGGTGAAGCCCTCATGAAGGGGATGTGTACCCTTATAAAAGAAGCCCCAGAGAGCAGCTGTGCCCCTTCTACCATGTGAGGACACAGTGAGGAAGTGTCATCTCACAACCAGGAGAGAGGCCCTCACAAGACACCAAATCTGTCAGCACCTTGATCTTCAACTTCCCAGATTCCAAAACTGTGAGAAATAAATTTGTTGTTTATAAGCTACCCAGTTTATGGTATTTTGTTATAGGAGCCCAAACAGACTGAGAGAAAATTTGTACTGTGAAGCAGGGTGCTGCTGTAACAAATACCTAAAATGTGGAAGCAGCTTCAGAACTGGGTAATAGGTAGAGGCTGGAAGAATTTCAAGGCTGGAAAAGCCTACATTGCCATGATGCAACTGTTAAGGATGATTCCGGTGAGGGCTCAGAAGAGGAAAGCTGTAGAGAAAGCCTGAATCTTCTTAGAGAATTCTTAAGTGGTCATGATCATGTTGGTAGAAATATGGATGGGAATGGCCATTCTGATGAGGTCTCAGATGGAAATGAGGAACATGTTATTGGAAACCGGAGGAAAATCTATTCTTATTATAAAGTGGCAAAGAACTTGGCTAAATTTTGCTCATGTCCTAGTGTTTTGTGGAAGATAGAACTTTGGAGCAATAAAATTGTATACTTGGCTGAAGAAATTTCTAAGCAGTGTTGAAGATGCAGCTTGGCTCTTCTTGAATGCTTATAGTAACATGCGAGAAGACAGGAATGATTTAAAGATGGAATTTTTAATTAAAAGGAAGCAGAACAAAGATCTGAAAAATTCTCAGCCTGTCCATATTGTTAAAAATTAGAAAGAGTGTTTGGGAAAAAAACACCAAGTGTGGCCAAATGACCATTTAATAAGGAGATTAATATGGATCAGCCAAGTGCTATTCATCAAGACAATGGAAGAATGATCCTGATAGCATTTCAGAGATTATTGGTGCTGTAACTACCACCACAGGTCCAGAGTGCCAGGGCCTGGGGGACAGAATGATCTCAAAAAGGGGCCACAGACACCTGCAGGACTTCAGCATTCACTACTGAGGACCACCTAGAGGCTCTGCTCACCATATTCCAGCACAGCACTCCTTGGCTGCCTCAGGTTCACTCCAGTGGGCTTACGTGCAGCAAGGGCCACAGCTGCCACCCTACCCCCCACCCCCAGAGGGCACAGGTGGTAAACCTTAGCAGTGTCCACACAGTGCCATTTCAGCCAGTACATAGAGTGCATAAGCCATGGGAGTGTGGCTACCTCCACCTAGATTTCAAAAGATGCCCCAGAGAGCCTCAGGGCCTCAGTAGAGAACTGCCACAGGGGCAGAGCCACCACAGGGAACCCCCATGTCTCATTAGGGCTATCGTCAGAATCCTGCCAATGTGGACAATTGTATTGCTAGGGCTAGGGCCCACAGACCCTACAAACCCTTGTACAGACTGGGTCACAGACCCCTCATATTCCTGGCTGGGGCACCAGACCCTCACACGCAGGTCCATGAGCTAGGTAATTGGGAAAGATCCCAGGAGCCATTGGCAGATGACAAGAGCTCAGTCCTCAGCAGCAGCAGCAGTGGCAGTGGCTTCTTGGGGCATCCTGGGGGCCCTGGCAACAACAGACTCCAGCAGCAGTAGTGGTCTCCTGGTGGCCCCCCAAGGGGCATCCTGGGGGCAGGGACACTGTGGATCAGAGCCATCCATCCTTTATATTTAAGTCCAATAACCCAGGACTCCTGGGTGCAAGTCAGACAACCCAGGAACACCTGGATGCACATGCACAATTACATTAGACAATAACCAAGGAACACCTAGGCACATGTGCATATTTACATCAAATTCTCAGCAAGATTCTGGACACCTGAGGGACTCTGACCATTTATCTTCACTTTCTCTACACCCCATTAAGTCTACCAGTGTAACCATGAGAATGGGGCCACCCTCAAGATCCCAGACCACTGGAACCACCAGTATGTGATTCCAGTCCAAGAAAGTTACCAGTGCACAACTCAGGAACAGAGCGACCATGGAAGTGGGGCCACCATAGGGGCAGGGTCACCACCCCAGCAGGTGCCCTGGTGGGCCTGGAGGTCAGATCCTCAAGTCAAGAAAGATTATTTTCCAACCTTAAGGCTTTAGACTTGCTTGGGACTCATTACCCCTCTTTCCTATTTCTCCCTTTTGCAATGGGAATGTCTATCCTATGCCTGTCCCACCATTGTATTTTGGAAGCACATGTTTGATTTTACAGGCTCACAGCTGGATAGCAATTTGCCTCAGGAAGAATTGTACCTTGAGTCTCATCTATATATGGCTTAGGCGATATTTAGATAAAACTTTGGACTTACCTTGTTTTAGCATCAACTTTAAAATGTAAGACTTTTTGGGCTCTTGGAATGGAATGAATGTATTTTGCATGTGAGAAGGACATGAATTTTAGGGGGCCCAAGGGCAGAATATTATGGTCTGAATATTTGTGTCCAATATATGTTGAAATCCCAATCTCCAAGGTGATATTAGGAGGTAGAGCCTTTAAGGGAGGTGATCCTGTCATGAGATGGAGCCCTCATGAATGGAATGAGTGCCTTTATAAAAGAGGCCCAAGACAGCCGGCATGCCCTGTCCACCATGTGAGGACACACTGAAAAGGCACCATCTATGAAGCCAGAAACAGGCCCTCACCAGACAACAAATCTGCTGGTGCCTTGATCTTGGACTTCCTAGCCTCCAGAACCTTAAGAAATAAACTTGTTGTTTATAAGTTACCTAAGTCAATGGTATTCTGTCACAGCAGTGCAAACAGACCGAGACAGTCGCCCACAGGATTCCCTCTCTCTCCACTGGGTACTGTGGAGGACTCCTAGGCCCCCAGAGATGGCTGAGCCACAACAGGGAAGGACCCAGGCCCCACATGACTACAGAGGACCCCCCACCACCAACTCACCCTGGACTGGGCCATGGATGAAGAACAAACTTTTGGGGGTCGTCTGAATCAGCAATCAGCCTACCATAACCAACAAACACTCTCCTCAGGGACACAGGCCAGTGGGTGGAAGGGAAGTGACAACATCACGGTGATCTCCTGATGGGGCAAGGACAGAACCAGAATTTTCCAACTACAGCCTGAGAAGGGGGGATGGGCAACCACAACCACACACCTGGGCAGCACCAATTCCCAAAAAACTTTATTGTTTCAAGTGGCAAAATGTCATTGGTCTCTGTGGAGCATGTGGCAGGGCAGAGGGAGACCGGGGGTGGGGCTGGGGCAAGGCCCCACCCATTACAAAAATCAAAGGCTTTTATAAAAAATGCTATAAATCGGTATCAAAAGAAAACCCAAGGGAGGCTGGAGGAGGAAGCAGAAGGAGGAGGGAAGAGAGCAAGGCAGGAACCAAACCCTGCGACCACGAGTGAGGGAATCCAGGCCGGGAGGGAAGGCGTGGGGGAAAGTTGGTGACACAAAGTGCATAAATGCGCCTCCCCAGATGTTCCTCAGAGGTGGACGGGGGCAGAGGCTGCAGCCCCGGGCATGGTGGGCTCCAGCCGACTCCTCGCCCAAAGACCCCACAGGAACGGGCACTGCCTGAGACTGCCAGATGGGAAGGACCTGCAACGGGGAGACGGTGGAGACTTCAGCTTCCTCTCTGCCACACCCACCCTGGTTCCCCCAGCTGTACCCCATTGTGAGAAAGGTCCCTTATGGTACCTGGAGCCTGGTGAGTGCCCCCAGGGATCCCAGACCAGAAGAGCTGGCTGACCACACTCAGACCAGCTACAGGGCATGGAGGACTGTCCCTGAGCCCAGGAAGGCAGGCTGGACGGAAGCAGCCATTCTCTTCCATCCCAGGCCAGACAACACCCTGCCCTGTGGACAAAATCTAGGGGGAGCCAAGTCTCTGGCGCTCGGCTTACCTGCCCGAGTCTAGCCTTAGACAGAAAGGGGGGTGGGGTGGGGAGCTCAGGGCTAGAAGGGGCCTCCCGAGTCCTCCAGGGACTGCTCACACCTGAAGCCCAGGCTGGATCCAAGCCTGGTAACCTGCCCTCACCTGTGATTTCTCAGACCTTCTTCTTCTTCAGCTTCAGGGCCTGCAGCCAGTTGGGCGATGATCCTTCTGACCTAGAATGCAGACAGCAAAGGTGCAGAAGGCAAACTTTAGGGAAACTGAACTAAATAAGGAAAAGTGATAGGGACAGAACCCACCCCTCACCCCCTCCAACCAGAAGAGGCAGCCTGGGGCCTGGCTGCACGGCCCAGAACTCTACACCCAACTTAATATACCTAATTTGGGGCATGTCAACATGTTCTCTGAGCCTGTTTTCCTCTTCTGTAAAGTGGGATTTCCCTTTTCAGGCTAAAACGGTGAGGTCAGTGGATGCCCAGAGCTTAGGTCACCTACCCTGAGGACTTCTCTGGCTTGGGAGGTAACGTGACGGGCTTCCCTAGCCCTGGGACCTTGCAAGACTTGGAGCGCTGGACTGTGGACTCCTTCTGGCTGGACTTGCTCTCCGCCGGCTCCCCCTCCTCAGCCGAGCGGTTCCGGGAGCGCAGCTTGGCCTGAGAGACAAGTCCAGACCCAGACACATGTAGGAGAGGCAGGCAAAAGGATTCACAGAGGGCTAGGCCTTCTCCCAACGGCATGCAGGCCCCAGAATCTGGCACAGACCCTTCTGTGGTCCTTTTACTCCAAAAAATCACTTAAAGATGGGCTTCCCTCAGAGTTGAGCCATGCCTTGCACACAGTAGGTCCTCAAAGAGATTCTGCTGGGCTGAATTCAAACACACTGGGCTGGACACAGCCAGTGCTGACCTCCTTCTGCCTGCAATGCCTCTGCACCACCCCAGCCCCCAAGCAAGCTCCTACGCCTGCCTCAAGGCTAAGATCAAAAGCCTACCATAGGCCTGCTCCAATCCACCCTCCCACGCCCCGCCACCTCCTGTTGGGAAATAACTCCTTCCTCCCTAAACAGGCCCAGCCCTGTGCCTCCCCAGTGACACCCAAACTGCTCCCTCCACTCAAGCTAATAACAGGCATGGCTCGTGCCCCAACTGCCCCTGAGGTTCTGGGACAAGAACACGCCCTGTTCCTCCTTCCGTACCACCTGGCACACAGCACAGGGTCCAGCAGGGCACAAAGGGATGTTCTGGGGGCCCTCACTAGAGAGCAGAATAAGAAAAGAAATGGGAGAGGGGGGTCGGGGGAATGAATAGACGGATGGACATGAAAGGCCAGATATGTCTGCTGAAAGATCAGACGGTACCTTCAGGGCTGATGGGCTCAGGCCAGGGAAGAGGTTGACCTTCAGCCCCTTGGTGCCCAAGGACATCCGTGTCCGGCGGCTCTGAGGCTCCTCCAACACCTCCTCATCTGAAGATGGCACTCGAGAAGCCCGTGGCTCTGCAAAGGCCCAGGGAGGGGGCTCAGGCGTGGCAGCACCCTCAGACCCCTCCAACCCTGCACAACTGGAGCCTTCCACCCCAGACACTGACGGAGACATCATCAAATGACGCATCAGTCCTACCCGTAGAGTCCTGGAACAGGCGTGCGTCTGAGTCTGCTGCCTCTGACAGGCCCAGGGTACCCCCGGGCCGGATGGCTGGGGCCCGGTGCCCACGCTTGCGCCCCAGGCTGGCACGGCTCCGATACATGGCACTGTCGAGGATCTCGGTGTCCTGCTCGGGACAATGGTGACACCACTGACATTGTCACCCCATGATCCTGCCCCATCCCACAGGAGCCCCTCGACATCAGCTGGCCATGGGCTGATCCCTCCCACAGCCAGAATATCCCATTCACAGGTCACACCCACAACCCACTTTCTGCCTCCCAGACTGAAGCTCCTTAGCAAGCCCCAGGAGCGGCGCTCTGGCTCTGTCACTCACACCACCCACATCTGCTGTGCTGGGCTCAGCCTCCACTGACCTCGATGAAGGAGAAGTCTTGACTGGGGGAGCTGGAGGGAGGGATTTGGGAGGGCTGCTGAGAAGTCCAGGCTGGCCCCTGCTCATCCTGCCCAGGCCCAGCAGGGCCCCAGGTGCCATCCACCTCATCTGTCCGGCTGGCTTCACCATCAGGCTGCGGCCTCCAGGAGGGCAGAGGGTCCCTGCCAGGCTCCAGAGGCTCCCCTTGGTCAGCACCTGCTGGGGCTCCTTCCTCCTCCAACAGGCCCCTGAGGCCGGAGGCCGCTGACTCCCTACAGGCCACAGCCCTGGAGCTGCTGGCTGTCAGCATCTCCTCCAGGAGGTCCTGGGAGCCAGAGGGCGGCAAGCGGGCCAGGCACCCGCCAGGGCTGCAAAGGGGGCGGACCAGAGAGCAAGGTCACCCACAAAGCCCCATCTCCCTCCCCCAAAGCCCACTTCACAGGATTCTCCACCCCCATCCCCCCTTCCATGCTCTTCCCAGACTCCTTCAACAAGGACACGGTCAGGGCCTGCAGCAACACAGCACACAGCTGGGCCAGCCAGGCAGGTTCAAATACTTGATCTGCCACTCACTGCCTGAGACTTTGGCTGAGTCCTTTCATCCATAAGCTCCTCAAGTTCTTCTAACTGTACAGAGTCGCTGGGGGAATGAAACAAGAATCTAAAGCACTCAGCACAGGGCCTGGCACTCAGTGTGGCCCTATAAACAAGAGCAGCTATTGCTGCCTCTGTGGCTGTTGTAGATGCCTTCAATGGGGTCCCTCCCAGCGGCACCTGCTTGGGTGGTCACACTCCTTGAAATGAGCCAGGTACTGGCCCATCTGCCTGTGCAGCCTTGTGTCCTCCACAGCCCCTACGTCATACCTCTTTACTCCCCAGTCTCACAGATCAGCCAGGGATGCCTAGAACACAGCCAGCCCTCTCACGCTGCTGTCTCTGAACAAGCTGTTCCCTCGGCCTAGAGAGCTCCCCCCACCCACCACTGTCCCCTCCCTCACTGTCCCCTCAGTTCAGTTTCTCTTCCGAAGCTGTCTCTCTCCCTCCACCATGGGCCGCCTCAGCCCCACAAGCCAGGGGCTCCAACCTGCCCCAGCCCCTGCTTCAGTTCTGCGATCCTTTGTCCCCAGTGCCTGTCTGAACTCCTCAAGGGCAAAGACAGGCTCCTTTTTGCCTTTGTGCCCCCAACACCTGGCCAGGAGCGGAACTAGGCAAATGTTTGCAGAGTGAATGAGAGGCTGGGGTACCTTGGACCTCAGCACAGCCAGGCACCTTCTGCCTGCTGTTCCCTCAAAACCTGACACAGACTCAGCATCCACATCTCACCACACACCTCACACGATGTCCAGCTGCCACTCCCTAAAAGACACAGACACACTCACACACTCATCACACATATTTGGGCAGGGAGCGCGCGCACCATTCATCTGTCCCTCCCTCCAGACACACACCTACCACCCAGCCCAGAGCCACACCCAGCGCACGAGCGGAGGTGTGGGAAAGGCTGGCAGGCAGTGCCCGGAAACCAGGCTGTGAGCTCCCCACGGATTGCAGGGGGAGGAGAGTGAGGCAGGTGAGTCAATGCCAACAGGACGAGGGGGCAGAGAGGGAGAGGACTGTGTCAGTCTGTCCTTCCACCAGTGGCTGACATATGGAAATTAACGCAGGCTAGGGAGGGTGGAGGCAGTGGCAGCAGCACAGTAAGGCAGCAGAATCGGGAATTGGGAGCAGCGTTGGGTGGAGGCCAAAGCCAGGTCACCCTGACAGCTAGCTTAGGATCAGAGAGGTGCTAGAGGGAAGGGCGCCAGTACCCCACCCAGCCTGAAGAGGCCCTGCCCCAAGCCTCTCCCTGGGGTGGGGCCGGAGAAGGCTGAAGGCAGGCCCCACGAGCTCAGAGGATGTGAAACACACAACGGGTGGATGGAAAGATCCACTTCCAGAGGGAAGCTGGCCTTCAGCCAGAGGACAGTGGCAGGAGCCCAGCAGGCGTGGGGGTGGCCATGAGGAGTGGAAAGAGGGGAATGGGGAAAGCCCTGGAGAACGCAGTGTGCATGGACCCCATCACCTGTCTAAACCCCACTCACCCCTCAACCCATCCCTGGAAAAGCTTTCCTGTCTGAGTGCCCAGAACACCTACAACTTGAGCCCCTCCTGGCAGGGAAGCAGGAGAGGGGGTGGTTAGGAACGGGGTGCTGAGCCCTGCCCCTGCAGCACAGATCTAGGCTCTATCCCCTGCTATGCCTGTGGCCTTGGCCACAGATTACTTGCCCACTCTGACCCTCAGTTTCTTCATCTGTAAAATGAGAATATTAAAAGTACCTAAACACTGCTGGGTTTGTTGGCAGAAATATGTGCTTAGCACATAGTTAGTTATTAGTTAGTTAGCACTTGATAAACGTAACAAATTATTAGGATAATCATCCTCCTCCTCAACACAGGTGCCAGGCCTGCGAGTCCCGGTCTCATCTTACATGGTCTATACCCTTCACCAGATCTAGACTTCAGATGATCCTGAGGACTCTATCCAACCCCACCTCCACCCAAACTATGGTGCAAACTATGAGGGATGGGTCTGCAAGAAGTCAGCTTCCCAGTGGTCCAGGATCTGAGACCTGAAATGAGGGAGGGTCAGGGCTGGAGCTGGAACAATATTTCTAAAGGGCAGCAGCTGGCCTTGACAAGAGAGAGACAGGGAGGGCACCCACAGAGGACCACAAGGATGGGGCCTGAGGGAACAGAGGGAAGCCTCCATCACAAGCTGTGGGAACTTGTGCAAGTCACACAGCCTCTCTGGGCCTCAGTTTCCCCACCCATGAGGAAGCTGAACTCAATGATCTCTTAGGGTCCTCGTGGATTCTATGAAGACCCCAAAACGGCTCAGAGGCTTCTGCATTGCTAGGGTCCAGCGGGAGGGGCAGGAGATGACTAAGCAGCCAGAGAGAGGAAGGGACAGTACCCAGCTCCCAGGGAGACCCAGGAGCCACAGGAAGGGCCCCTAGACCCACAGGAAGGGCCTGGGCTCTTCCCACATTTTCCCCATACCCCTCCAACCTCCATCCAATGATTACCATCAGGGATACCTTTGTCCAACATGTGGGCAATGACTAAAATGTCCCCAAGGGCCTCACTTTGTGGACATCTCATATCCAAATTTGCAAAACAGGTACGAATACAACTAAAATTTTTTCAGTGACTACCACATGCCGGCAGGTTTATATTTATCACTTTCTGTGGATCAGCTTCTAACCCTCACAAAAACTTTGTTGAGTACCATGAGTAAATTACTCCCAATTTACAGATGAGAAAGTAGAGGCCTGGAGAAGAGAAGAAACTTGCCAATGGGCATAGAAGTGGTGAAAGAATCAGAACCCAAACCTGGCAGACAGTCCCAAAGCCAGACCCCTCTGAGCTCTTCTCAGGAGCCTCTTTTTTACAAAGGGAACCTCCAAAATTTTCCTTAAAGAGAATTTTTCCACAGTGCAGAACTTCCCTACATCAATGCTCAGAACACTAGCTCCTTGGACATTAGTCCAATACGTCTGGGAAACATTGCATTACTCGTGTTGAAGATTCAAATATATGCAAATATACACATTAAGCCTCCTCCACAGCCATGGAGTACACAGCACCTTCTGAATATATTTATGGCCTGTTATTCTTTAGGACACATTTTGGAAAAGGCTGCCCAAAAGCATGACGTTCAAACGAGCCCCTCCAAAGCAACTGTCTCCTTTCAGCGCTGGAGGGGACACCTTTTCTGTCACACACACTGAGCTTCACCACTATGGCATCACAGCTAAATCCTGAACTCGGTAACATCAACACTGACCAGACTGTTTCCATAAAAACGCTTTAAAGGCGCGATGGAGACTGAAGCTCAGACAGCTGAGTGCTTCCCCGCTTCTCTGCCACTACCCTCCTGTTTCCCTAACCCGGTCCCATGACAGTCCCTCCCCGCCCCAGCCTGCTGGCAGCCTCCTCCATCCTAAACAAAAGGAAAGATACTATCACTTTCCCCTTCTCAAGAGTCACCCAAGTTTTTCCAAGGAGAAGGGAAAGGTGGACAGCTGTGGGTCCCACTCCTTGATAGCCTAAGAGTCTCGAATGTGGTAGCCACACCTGAAAGCAGTTAATACAAACGAGTCGGAAACAGCTATTGCTAACTCTGTGACCTTAACTGGGTTGCACCGCTTCTCAACCTGCCGACTGGGGAGGATAAAAATCCTTTCCTGATTCACAGGGCAGCTGTGAAGATACATGATGCAAGATGTGCAGCTCAGCACCAGCAAGAGGAATTGAGGGGAGAGCCCCCCCACCCCTCCCCTGCACCGGGAATGTGAAAGCTGGAACTCTGGGTTTCCCAAGTCTAACTATTGGAAACTGAGGCTCCAACTCGTCCAGCAACTCATCCAAGTCAAAGGAACCTCCGACTCCCAGTCCTGTGTACCCACCCGCTCCCCTGCAGTCTTCACCCCTGTGCTCCTCCATTCCCCACTCAGCAGCCTGAGTCCCAGAGAGCCCCCCTCAACTCCCCTGAGCATATCTTCCCAGCCCCAGGCTCTGCCCACCTTCCTCTCTCCCGCCTTCTCTATCCCGAACGCCTCTCCCCACTCCCCCTCTACCATTCCCCAAACCCTGAGCAGCCTCTCTAGCCCTTTCTGGTCCCTCCTGTTCTGCTCCCACTACCATCAGCCCCCACTCAACACCTCCCCCTTCCCTGCCCCACATTCCCAATGAGAAGCTCCCACTCCAGGGCTGGAAAAGGTACAATGTTCTGCACACTAAAGAGATCAAATAAACCAATAAAGGCAAATCTCAGTGGATGGAAATGTTAACAAAATAGATGCAATGCCTTTTTAGCACCCTTTCCAGTTGCAAAATCACCTCCGTTGGTTTTAGGACATCCAAGAGACAGGTTGTAGCTGACTTATAAACTACCAGTCTGCTCCTTCGGAAAGTTCTCTTTCAGCAGCTTTGCACGTGGAGGCCAAGGCTGTGGGGCCAGAGTCAGGTCCCAACAGCCTTCAGGTTCTTAAACTCTTGCTCCCTCCGGGCTCTAGGACAGGGCAAGTAAGAAGCACCAAGTTCCTAACTCCTTTGAGAACCAATGAGTGCCACCGTTCACTCCACTGCTGGCTATAGCAACCCAGGCCAAGACAACACGGAGACCCCTTCCTGCACCTGTGAAAGCATCTGTGGTCCCTAGCCCAAGAGCACCTGTGGCCTCACAAGAGCGGAACCCAGCAGAAACCATCCAAGATGGGACATGCACCATTTCCACCTACAGTCATAATTCACAATCGCCAAGAAAGCCCAAAACATGAGTTCCTGAAAAAGAGTAACACCTCAAACATTACATTCATCCTTCAAAAAAGGAACTCACCTGCATGTCTGTCATATTACAATTAAAATATAAAAGTAGAAAACTCACAGTCCAAAATGTCTCAATTTTCCAGACGCTAAAAGTCCTTGGAAAATGCTGCTTCTTCCCTCCCGAAAAAGGTTCTAGTTTTTCAGACAGCTGTCACACCTTCCCTCCCACACCAGGATGGGGCTCCCTTACCTGGCTCCAAGGTCTGGGACTTCTCCCGTCTCCATTCCAGGGTCTTCATGGGTCTCCAAGGAAGGCAAGGAGCAGTCTTCACCCTGGGTCTCTGGCCCACTTATCTCGCCAACCCCCAGCTCCCTGGCGTCCAAGGGGTCTCTGGCCTCCAGGCCAGGGGACAGGCTGCCACTGTTCCTGAGGCCAGGCTCCAGGTGCTGGCCCATCTCTCCTACCCCACGCTCCCTGGCTTCACTCGGGGCCCCAGAGGGCTCCACATTCCGGAGTCCCAAGTCCTGAGCCCAGTCCATCTGCCCTACACCACATCCCCGTGGCTCCCGAGAGCCTCCAGACTCAAGGTCACAGGACACCTCCAAATTCCTCAGGCCCAGAGTGTTGCTCCAGTCCATCTGGCCCACCCCAAGCTCTCTGGGCTCTCCTGGGCTGCAGCCCGCCCCCGGGGCCATGTTTCTCAGCCCGAGGTCAGGTGTCCAGTCAGCCTGTCCAACTCCTCGCTCCCTTGATTTCAGGAACTCTCCGGCCTCCACACCTGACCAGTCAGTCTGCCCCACGCCTCTCTCTCTGGCCTGGCTGTAGCCTCCTACCTCCCCCACCCCAGTCAAATCTCTGCTCCTCACCCCAACATCAGAAGTCCAGTCCTTCTCCCCGACTGCGATCCCCCTGGGATCTTCAGACTCTCTACTTTCCAAACGGCTGGCCAGGTCCATGTCTCTCAGGCCTAGGTTGTCCGACCAGCCCATCTGTCCCACAGCATTCTCCCTGGCCTCACCTGAGCCCCCAGAACTCATACAGCCAGACACTTCCAAGTTCCTGAGACCCAGCTGGTCAGTCCAGTCCACAGGCCCAGCTGTGGTCTTCACAGGAGGCACAAAGTGACCTCCTCCCGTCTTGCCGGAAGGGCTCAGGCCAGCACCACTCGTTCTGTCATTGCCAATGATGCCAAACTGATAGCTCCTCTCGCTGGCCTCGATGCAGAAGTCCCTGCTCCAGTCTGGCTGCCCCAGGCTAAAGGCTGCCTCCGACTGGGGGGCAACACCAAGGCTAAAGTCACCAGCCCAACCTCGCTTCGCCACCTCCCCATCTTGCACATCAGCATCGCCAAGGCTCTGACCCCCTTCCTGCTGTCTCTCCTGCAGCCCTCCAACCTCCTGGCTGGCCTCACTGCCTTGCCAGGTGCTCTGGTCTCTCTGCCCAAGTGCCCCATCCTGCAACTGGGGGGTGCTGGGACGAAACAATCCCCCCGATTCTCTCTCTTCTGGCCGGCCTGCATCCCTGCTGGCCTCACCAAGGCTGTCTTCGCCACTTGGATTCTTCTTCTCAAACTCCTCGTCCTGCTGCTGGGCTTCCTCGGGACTGAACCTGGAGCTCAGGGCTCTTGTTCCGAAGCTTCTGTCCTGCGTGCTGAGGGCCCTGGAGCTGCTACTGCTGCTGTAGTCCTTCATCCAAGCACTCCTCTCAAATTCCTGGTCCTGCTGCTCTGCACCAAGGTTACAGTAGGTGCCAAGCAAAGAATCTCTCTTCTCAAACTCCCGATCCTGCTCATCGGCATCCTGGCTGCTGTACCTGCCAAGGTGGTCCTTCTTCCCTAATTCCTGGACCTGTTCATCAGCATCCTGGCTGGCATAGGCACCCAGAGAATCTCTCTTCCCAAATTCCCAGTCCTGAAAGCTTGCATCCCGACTGCTGTAAGTACCCAGTGAATCTCTCTTGTTGAATTCCTGGTCCTGGAGTTCTGCATCCCGACTGGAGTAAGTGCCCTGGGAATCCCGCTTTCTGAACTCCCAGTCCTGACTGTCTGCCTCCTGGCTCCACTGGGTGCTGAACTGGGCTGGCTTTCCAACCACCCGGTCCTGGGCAATGAGCCCCCCCAGGGCAGACACTTCACTCTGGGCTTGGCTGCTGCTGACCTCCATCTCCTCCTGGCCGACGCCACACCTGCTGGCCCACTCCCTGGTGCTCCCTTCTCCAGTTCCTTGCCCATACTTGCTCCAGTCCCTCTCTCCAAGGCCTGGGTCTCCTCTAATGCTCGCACCCCCAAGGCCATAGTCCTGAGATGCACCTTGGGACCAGCTGGAAGGACTGAAATTGCTGGGATGTGGGTCTGCTGCAATCCCAAATTCACTCTGCAGGTCTTTCTGGGCCCAGCCAAGGAGTCCCTGGGAATCAGAAAAGAAAAAAAAAAAAAAAGACAAACAATGCTTAGAGTCGATTGGGGTGGGAGTCACTACTGAATGAGAATCAGAGCTACCTAGTATCTGAGAGCCCCACTTTGGCAAAAGAAAGCCAGGATTTGGATGCCAGCTGTGTAACACTGAGAAAATCACTTAACTATTCTGGGCCTCAGGGCCCTCATCCTTAAATGGGGATAATTCCTACTGCATGGGGCTGATGTGAGAGGATTAATCAAGATCATTTAAACCGAGTATTCAGCACAGCTCCTGGCACACAATGGGCCCTCGATTGATGGTCCCATGGTCATGTTTACAACCCTTGGGCAACTCCTGGCTAACCACCAGGAGAAATCCTACCAGAAGAAATCCTACCAGGAGAAATCCAAGACCAGTCTTCACATGGGTGGGGGGAGTGCACTTTCAACTAGGCAAGGTCAAGACTCAAAGCCCCTCCACAACCCCCTTGCAAGGCAAGATTCTAAGAGCAACCAGAGCCCTCTAGCTCCACAAGAGCACCCAGGCCCTGCTTCCCTAAGGAAAGCACCTTCTTCCTAGCACAACGGCCCGCCCAGGAAGATGGGAGGGGCAGCCTCTGAAGCAGGCAAAAATCCCAGCCAGGGCTCCCTGCACCCCCCACCCTCTCTCCCTGACTCACCCCTGCGGGCGGGTGGGCCCCAGGCCCAGGGCCTCGGAGCCGACCGGCCTCATCCCGAAGCGCCGCGTTGGCCAGCAGCCGCTCCAAGACAGACATGCTGGCCTCCCTGTCCGCAGGCTGGGCCATGGCCCCTGCCCCACCCTCTCTCCCTGACTCACCCCTGCGGGCGGGTGGGCCCCAGGCCCAGGGCCTCGGAGCCGACCGGCCTCATCCCGAAGCGCCGCGTTGGCCAGCAGCCGCTCCAAGACAGACATGCTGGCCTCCCTGTCCGCAGGCTGGGCCATGGCCCCTGCCCCCACCCGCCGTGGAGCTGCTGGGTGCTACGGCCAGCAGCACAGGGCTGGGCCGCTCCCCGCGCCTGGACCTGTCCGACCACTCTGGCTCCCGCTGGCCCTGGCCCGGCTCCCTCCGGAGCAGCTGCAGCTCTGGCAGCCCCGCCCAGGAGACAGTTGAGTCACCCACATCCCAGGACAGACACACCTACTGCAGGAGTCAGCTTGGTCTTAACCTCTTCCTGCTCCTCCTCCCCCCCTGCCCCCAGGGCCCCCTGGCTCCTCCTTCCCTCTAGCCCCGCCCCTACCAGCCCAGGCCAGGCTTGGAAAACAAATTTCAAAAGCCACCTGGACCCCAGCCCTTAAGTTCAGAGGCAGCCTGGTAGGAGAAAGAGCACTGAGCCGGAAACTGGCGCCCTGGCCCAGGCCCAGCCACCAACTCGCTGGGTAACTCCGCACAAGGCTCTGCCTCCCCTGGGCCTCAGGGGCCTATCTACAAAGCAGGTCTTGCACTCGATGGTAATAACGTGTCTAAAAGCCAACACTTGCTAAGCACTGACGACGAGCCAGCCGCGATTCTTAGTACTTTACACACGCTATACCTCACTTTATCCTCTCCATCACCCTCTAAGATAGAGCTCATCATTGTTATCTGCATTTTACAGATGCGGAAACTGAGGCAGAGGACAGAAAAGTCACTTGTTCAAGGTCACAGAGCAGAGGCAGGAGATGGACCCAGGCAGTCTGGTTCCAGAGCCCACGCTCCCAATGGCTATAGAGTTTCGCCTTGCACGACATCCCTTATAATAATGGACTCAACGCTCAGTGCACACCACACATGGCACTGAGCAATAATACAGCTCTAAGAGGCAACTGCCATTATTAGGAAAGGATTCTGAAGCTTAGACCAATTAATTTGCAAGACCAATCAACTAGTGAATGCTGGAGTCCGGATGTGAACTCACACTAAACACTAAGCTCCATCCATACAGTGCTGCCAGTTTTTGCTGGACAGTAGACCTGGGAGGTGCAGGTCTGTGGCTGCCTTGCTCACTACTGTATCCCAACTTCCTGACACAGAAAATCCACAATGAAAGAATAAAGCCTACCCAAGCCCTGACCTCCATCCCCCAAACCCCCACCCTCCCTGAGCCCCTGTCCTCACCTCGGAGCAGGTACTTGGAGACTGTGAATCCTTCAGCTCAGATCCAACTCCCCGCCTTGCACTGCCAGCACTGGGTGGTGGCGAAGCCAGGAGGTCATCTAGCCAGCGAGAGCTGCTTTCAGGGCCCACAGGCTCAGGGGACACCCTACAGGAGTCTTGAGCCTCTGCCCTGGGTTCAGTGGTCTTGGCCCGGGCTAAGGTCACAGCCTCCTCCCTGGCAGGCAATGCCTGCCCAGGGTCAGGGGCATCAACAAAGAGGACACAGGGCTGATCAGGAGATGCTGGCTGCTGCTGCCCCAAGACTGGCTCCAGGATGGGCAGGGCTGCCTCCCTCATGGCGAGAGGAAGGGGAGACTCCAGTCCAGCCAGGGGCTCCCGCTCTTCACACCTCTCCTCTGCCTGCAGTAAGGGTGATCCAGGTGGGCCCCCAGTTGTAGGCAGGGGATCAAGGGAAACAGCTGGGGACCGAGGCTGACTCTCCCCATCACCCTTTTGGGTTGAAGAGGTACCTGGATCATCCCCCTGCACCCAGGAACTAGGCCTTCCTGGCCCCCCTGGAGCTGACCCAGCCACTTGTCCCTGCTGGGACACACCTTCCTCCCTGCTAGCCACAGCCCAGGTGCCAGCCTCAGCAGCCTCAGCGGCCTCACTGGCTTCAGTGATGGGGGAGGGGGGTGGGGAGTCCAGCCGCCACACGCCCAGGCCTGAGGGCCGCGTGGGAAAGGTCCATTCAAAGGACTGTGACAAGCTCCAGTTGGATTCTGTCCCACTTTCAAATGGATGATCCAGGGCCGACTGGGTCCCCTGGGTTTGGGGCAGGGCAGCCAGCGAGCCCCCTAGCTTCTCCTGGTCCTGGCCAGGTGGCTGGAGCACACCTTCAGAGAATCGGCGCTGAGCCAGGCTGATGGAACGGAGGTCGGCGTTACCCTTGGCCACCACTGCCACCTCCTCCTCCCCAGATGAAAATGTCTGAGTGAGATCCAGCAACTCACCCCCCTCAATCAGGGGCCGGGGCGAGGTGGCCGGGGGCTGCTCTGGGCTGTGGCACCTCAAGACCTCCTCAAGGGGAGGACTGCTAGCTCTGGGGGCTTCTGGGGCTCCTTCAGGAGGGAGCCCCAGGCTAGGAGGATAACAGGGGCCTTCATCAGGCAGGGTTGCACTTGGGGATGTTGGAGTCGCAGGGAGGCAGGGAGAAGCCTCCGAAGCTGCAAGACTCTGGGCTTCTGGAAGCTGGTGGGGAGAGTGCTCTCCTGGTGAGTGAGGACAGGAAGACACAGGGACTGGGCCAGGGACATCAGCAGGGAGGCCTGGGATGGCAGAACCTCCATTCTCTGAGGTGGGTCCTGGACTTGAGGGGACCCGGGGCTTGAAAACCTGCAAGAGAAAGAGCAACAGCCATTACTCGCCTCTCAGCCAAGTAGGGGAGGCCCCTCCAGGCAAGGGGTTTGGCTCACAAGGGGACTCTAAGCCCAGTGCAGCTGCAGACCAATTCCCAGCAGTAGCTATGGGGAGGTGGGGGGTGCAGGGGGGCAATCCCCACCCCACTCTGTATATACATAGGTCCCAGCCTACCCAAGGAAGCACGAAGGCCATGGGGTTCAGGCAAAGGACACTGGGGCCAGGTGAAAAGCACCTGGCCTGGAGTCATCCCAGCTCTGCCTCTTAAAGGCTATATGCCCGCCCTCCCTCCTGAGTGGTGGGCACTTGGTCCCTCTGAGCCTTGGCTTCCCCACTGTATGCTGGGTCTGATGACAACAATGTCCATCTCACAGTTACATGAGGGTTAAATACGATTTGTGCACTGGCCTCTCGGTACAGGACTTACAGGAGAATGGCTGCTGTGGGATGAGGCAGAGGAAAGAGGCAGAGGGGACACCAAGCCTCACCGCTCCACTCTGCCTCTCCCCAGACAATGAAGTGACTCTGGCTCTATCTGACCTTGGCCCTCCCAGAGGTCACACTTCCCTTGTGGCCCTCCCCAACACCGCTGTCCTCCCACATCATCTCCTGCTACATCTCCTGCTAGGTCTGGGCCTTTTTATTCCCTCCATCCTCCCTCCTCTCTACGACATTCTACTTTCAAAGCTCATGCCCTTAAACTATACCAGCTACACCCGCCCCTTTACAGTCCCTACAAACCCCTCATTCCTGGAAAATTGTAGCTCTGGATCTCTGCAGCCCTCTCCAGCACTACTGTGATGATCTGTGGTGATTTTGATAGCAGATCAACCCTTCCAGCCTCTTGGCTCCCTGTTCCTGAGTCTCCTCTTCCCCGATGTCATACCCTAAACCTCGCCCTCACCAGTAACTGCAACCCCTGCATAATCTCAGTTTCAAGTGTCCCACTCACCTGTCCCCACCTCCTATGTGTCCAGCCGCTCTATCTCCCTATCTCCCTCACTCTTCAACCCCTCTGGGAAGCACAGTCCATTAATCCTACTTTCTTCTCACTGTCCCCTATGCCCCTCCTACCCTCACTTCACTTTTTACCACCATTAAAGTCACTTCTTACACAACCTTCAAATCCCTGGTTCCCTTCATCCTGTTTAACCTGTTTAAATACAGCTCTCCACCAACCCTAGCCCAGCACCTGCGCAGCTGGATGAGGCTGGAGAAAAACACGCAACCATCCTGGCTGGTCTCCCTTCAGATTCACCACTGACCTCAAACTGGTCCTGGAGCTGCCCAGAATCCTACCACAATCCCCGCCTTCCATTCACTCCCTGACTCTCCTCAAACCTCCAACACCTCTTCCCCATCCTCCCTCAGCTGATGGCCTTGCTTCCTGTCCCCTGAGAACACAGAGGTGACTAGCAGAGAACACCCACACCTGCACCCTCACGCCACCCGCTACCTGCATGAGCCCAAGCTCTCTGCCTCCCTTCTACAATCCTCTGCTGTCCTTGCTCATGGCTAAGGCCAACACCCCACTCTCTCCTGCCTCATTGATTTTTTCCCTCTCTACTGGAACATTTCCATAAGCACACAAACTGCTCTATATTCCTTCTGTCTTAAAAACACAAATAAAATAAATTTTTTTTAAAAAATCACTCTTGAGCCCACATCTCTCTCTAGCTACCAGCTATTTTCTTAGAAGCACTGTCTACATTCACTACCTACAGTTCCTGTCTTCCCATTCTCTCCTGAACCCACTCGACAGGATTCTTCCTTCACCTTGCCACCTACCTACTCTCGTTAAGGTCACCAATGACCTGCCGCCCTGTAGCTAAATCCAGTTCTCGGAGCTCACCTTACTTGACCTGTCTGCGGGGTCTGACAGCTGCCGGCGTCCTCCTCCAGGCCTGGAGGCTGTCTTCCTTTGGCCGGGCTCCTTTTTCCCTCCCGCACCTTCACCCACTCTCCCGGTGATCTCAGCCAGTCTTAACTACCATCTCCACACTGACGATTCCCCAAGTTCTCCTCTCTAACTCGCTCGCTTCCCCCTGGAAGCCAGACTCAAATAGCCAACTGCCTGCTCAACGGTTCCACTTGGATTTCTAAAAGGCATCTCAAACTCAACAAATCCAGAAGCAAACTCCTCACGTCTTCCCCGATCCTGCCTTGCCCTCAGAAGCCCCCATCTCGGTAAATGGTAACCTCATCCTTCTGGTCGCTCAAGCCAAAAGCCCTCAAGTCCATCGTTGATCCTGCACTTTCTTCCCTCACATCAATCTATCCCAAAATCCTGTCCACTTTGCCTTCAAATCCTACCCAAAATCAACCACTTCTCACCATCTCCAGCACTGGTTTGCCCCAGAGTCCAAGCCCTGAATTATCTCTCACCTGGATTGTCCCAATAGCCCCTATCTGGTCCCTGCAGCTGCTCTTACCTTTCTGCAACAATTCTTAACCCAGAGGGCAACGTGACTTTAGAACTAAGTCTGCACAGGTCACTCTTCTCCTCCGAACTCCTCAATGGTTTCTTCCCCTCACTCAAGCCAAAGCCCTTATAGTGGCCTGCGAGGCTCAGCACAATCCACCTCCTTCACCTCTAAGTCCTCACTGTGATCCAAACATCCTGGCTTCCTCGCCAGGAAGGCACCAAGGCCTCTGTATCTACAGTGCCCTCTGCCAAGAATGCTGTTCCCCAAACATCCACACAGTTCACTCGCTGACCTTCACAGTGGGGGCTTCCTTAACTGCCCTTGACCCGGCACCTCGACCTTTACAGCCCTCCCCGGCACTTGTCGGATACACTACATATCTGCTGGTTTACAGGATGTCAGTGTTTGTGTCTGCCTCCCCGCATTAGAAGGTGGGCGTCCTGAGAGCAGGAATGGTGTACGTTGTTCTCTGCTATTTTCCCAGCACCCAGCTCATAGGATATGCTTAGTAAACATGTACTGGACGGACAAATGAATGGAGCCAGGTCTCCATCACAGGGCAGATGGGTGAGCGTCTGGCTAGCAAGGGCTCTATGAGCAAGAAGGGGCACCCTTTAATACATGACTCAGGAAAGCAGGCTGACTGTCCCCCGAGCGCACTGTGGGAGAGAAGAAGGGGTGTAACGGAAAACCTCCAAGAAAAGGACTCTTCCTTCTTCTGAACTCAGAGAAGGCAGCCCAGCCAGGGAGTGCTGGAGGCAGACACTTAACCTCTGTGAGCCCTGGTGTTCTCTCTCACGTGGGACTCACAAGGCCTACCAGCCAAAGTTATCACAAAGATTAAGTAAGTTAACATTCCTGGGACATGCCCAGCACAGAGTAGGTACTTAATCAGTGGCAGGTGTTATAGATATTATAATTACCGTTTATAAAGAGCAGCCTCATGACCTGAACCACACTTAGCCACCTTAGTGATCGAGAACACTGGCCTGGGAGTGAAGAAATCTGGGTCCTGGAGCCAGCCCCTGGGCAAGTCACTCCCTCCATGGGCCTCAGTTCCTCCATGTGGACTACAATGGGGGTGGACCCTTCCAGTTCTAAAATATTGTGATTCTGATTTGTAAGAGGAGGATAACTCACATCAATAGGTGGCTCAGAGCTGGCCGGCTGAGCCAGGTCCCCGTTGAAGGCCAAGTCGGAAGGGGGAATCCTGTGAGGGAGAAAGACAGGGAATGGAGGCAGAGCATGTGAAAGCCTATCACAGAATAGAGAAGGGCAGAGAATCTCCCTAAGCAACTTTAACAGTGCCCAAAGGTTAAACACCCCCAAGCATTTACTCCTCAGCCCTGCCTGGAAGCTCAACAGAGAAAGTGCCCCCAGGAGATAGTGCCTATGCCCTACCTGCACGTAAAGGGTTAAATTCCCCTACCTACTTTAGGGAAAGCAACCTGTATGCCCAGACCCTTCAATGGTTCCCAAAAAGATAACTCCTCCTTCTGCTAACCCATAAGGGGTTAAAGTTCTCCTCCAGCCAGGAAAAGTGCAGCTGGTCCAGTCTGTCCTGCCAATACTTCTTGAAGGGTTGCAGGGGGGAGGGGAAGGGGGAAGAGTGATTTTCCAAGGTTGAAGTTGTTCCTCTTAAGCTCTGCTTGGAGCAAGGGAGGGGAGGAGGATGGAGGGCAGAACCCAGCCTGGGCAGCAGCGTGACCTCACAGTGCCCTGGTCTGAGACATGCAGCGGGTTAACTCCAGGGCCAAGCCTTCAGGCACTTCAGGTGAGAGAAAGGTAAGGCAGCAGGGCAAGGGCTTCCAGCTTCCACTGGGTCCAGACCACAGCAGCCCTTCCCTTCTTGGCAGGAGGAGGGGGAAGGAAGCCTCTGGGCCTGCAGAGCTACCAGCCAAGGACTCAGGGGCAAGCCATGCCTCAAGCTGGCTCTTCCTGCCCTGAGGGTGGCCTCCGGGCAGCTGATGGCTCCCCAGATCTCTCAGTCTCTTCCTCCAATGTCCTGTGCTCCCCACCCCAAGGAGAACCTCTGGCCAGTCTTCCTTTACACTAGTAGTGCCAACTGTGAAAAAGTGGATCATATGCAAATGACTCCAACCAGCAGTAATCTCTGTGCAGACACTAGGTGGCCTGGCATCAAGATGTGCTCCTCCCCAGGCGGAGACTGCACCCTACTCATCCGACACACACACCCACCCCAGGGCCCGACACACTGCTCTGCCCACAGTAAGAGCTAACAATTAAGCACAGGCTTTGGAATCAAAGAGACCTGAACTCAAATGCCATCTTTGTCTCTTACTTGTGAGGGACTATGGGAAGCTACTTTTGAACCTGTTTCCCCATCTCTAAAGTGGAACAAATATTCCCTTCACCAAACAGGAAGGCTACAGATTCAATGAGGCAAAGTTTGGTGCCCAGCTCTCCATATATAGAAACTAAAAATAAACTTCAATGCGGTACATTTGAACTCTGCTATAAACAGACATCAACTCCGTAAGGAGAACTACAACATTTAAAAGCAGACAGTAACGACAACACCATCTGCTAGGTGAATGCTTTGTGACTCAAACCGGGGTCTGCCCATGCTCACGGCACCCAACTAACCTAAAGGTGAAGGTCATAACCCCTGATGGGGCCACTTTCTTGGACCCCAGCCCCCAACTTCCAGGCTACAATGAAACACACAACCTCCCACCCCTCACCTCTCCTCAGGGGTCTTGCTGTGCTCTTCCTGACACTCTGTGGGTGAGTGTGCTGGCCCCTCCTGAGACCATCCCCTGCAGAGGGTCCTGCCATCCTCATTCCTGGGACCACTGGCCACGCCATAGGTCCTGGGGCCATATCGTGAGCTGCCATCATGGTTAAAGGTGAGGCGGGAGCCCCAGAGGCGGTCAGGGCTGGCAGGGACCTCCTTCCGTGGTTGCTCCATCTTGGCCAGGATCTCTTCCACTGTGGTGGCTGCAAAGCGCTCTGAGGCTGGGCGGAAGGGGGCAGGTGCCTTCCTCACGCCCCCCGGAGCGGCACATCGGGCTGGGGGAGTCAAAGGGGGTAGCTCCTCTTTCCCTGCCTCTTTTCCAGTCTCTTGGGTAGTTTCTCCTCCAGCAGGGGTCTCAGCTGTAGGCCTTGGTGCAAAGGGAAGGGGACGCTTGCTGCCACCGTAGGGCTGGGGTCCTGCCAGCATGTTCATCTTCCGAGCAGAAGGCAGTTCAGCCAGGGGACCCCGGGGGGGCCGAGGCCCAACAGGCACCAGCAGGCTGGGCTTGGCAGGCAGGGCTGGCTTGGCAGGCAGGGCTCGAGGTTTGGGCTTGACAGGGGGTTTGGCCCGAGGGTCACCTACCAAAAGGAAAGGGTTGGAGGAGGAGGTGCTGTCAGAAGAACCAAGAAGCAGAACTTCTTGTGTTTCCCACCTCATCTCCTACCCTCCAATTTCAGGAGGTTCACATCCTTCTAAGCACAAGTCAAATGGTACCTCTTCCATGAAGCCTTCCTTGATTTTCTGCACACATCCCTGAAGCATCTTCTCCCTTCTCCAAACTTTCAAAATGTTTAGCCAATTCCCCTTTTAAGCTAAAGCTATTTAAGGGCTCAGCTGGCACCTTATTGCTCTTTGTACCCTATTTCACACCTTGCACAAGTTCTTACCAAACAAATGAATGAGCAAATGAGCCAATAAACGAATGCCTGCCTGCCCACATCAAACAGTCGGCCCGCCGTCTCTCCAATCTAGTCCTTTTCCCTCATGTCACACTTCACTATATCATCCATAGCCACCTTTACACCCCAGCTCAGCTTCTCCACCCAGCCTCCCTGCTGCCCCCTCCCCCAACACACTCCCAGGCCACCTCCCCACTGGTGTGTGATCAGGAATGCAAAGAGTCCTAGAAAAACAGAAGTTACCTAAATCGTCTCAAGAAGAAATTAAAAATCTGTATAGATCTAAAACAAGTAAAAAGATTGAATTAGTAATTTTAATACTTCCTGCAAAGAAAATCCCAAGCCCACGCTTCACGGGTTGATTTTACCAAACATTTCAGGAAGAATTAACACCAATCCTTCACAAACATTTCCACAAGACAGAAGAGGAGGTAACACATCCCCAGTTCATTCTATGAATTGGGGCAAATATGACCGTGGAATGAAAAGCAGACAAAGAGATCATAAGAAAACTACAGAACAATGTTCTCTATGAATATAGATACAGATATCCTAAAAAAAAAAAAAAAAAATACCAGAAACCTACCTTCTACAGAAAGCATTCCAATGCCAAATAAAAGACCTTGGAATTACTCATGGCCACAACCCTTCTAATAGAATAATGTATCAGCCACTCATTCAACTAAGCATAAGAAAAGAACCTAGACAGGGAGCCAGGAGACCTGTAGGTGCACTCCATTTCTCCCCCTGGGCCTCAGTTTCCCCCTCTGCCACACATGAGGCTCGATCCACATCATCTTGAAGTTTCTGTCTGTTTCAATGGTTCTGAAGGGTCTCAACAGGACCTGAGAACCTTCCAAACTCATCCTGCACTTCCTCAGTACTCCTCCCCTCCCTCACTCCCACCTCAACAGAATCATTGCTCAATCATCCCTCAAGACAGAATGGGGGTGCAGCCTCTGCCCTTCCCACCTCCTCTCAGCCCCCGCTCCACCCTGCACCCATCAGTACCTGGCTCAGAGCCAGCGGGTGCCAGCTCCTCCTCCATCTCCCGGGGCGGTGGGGAAGCCATGGCAGTGCTTTCCCTGAGAGTAGACACTTTCATCACATGCAGCAGACCCTGAGAATTGGGAAGCAAAGATGCATGAGCTGGGGTGGTTGAAGACCCAGGAAAAGAGAGAGAGGGAAATAGAGTTGGGCGTTGGCAGCAGGCTTAGGCTAGCCAAGAGAAGTCTCCTATTTCTAGCAGAGGCAGAGTGTGGGACAGGAAGAAGGAACTTCAGGAGGGGGGTAGGGGTCGGTCAAGGGAGGTCCCCAGCAGCCAGATCCTCAACTCTTCCCATATCCTCTCCAACTCTTGTCTCCTAACCCAAAGTCCTGGATCTTCAGGGAGCCACCCACCACTCCCTCCTCTGACCACCTCTCCAAGACACCCTACTCACGGTTCCTAAGGCGCCCCTTGGGTCAGGAGGCCCCACTGGAGGTGTCTACTCAGGGCAGAGCAAGAGGGCTGCAAAGTCTGAAGTCTCTCTGTGAATCACCTCATGGGAGACGGGAAAAACCCGCTCCTCCCCAACCTGGGGCTCCGCCCCCCCGCCTGCCTTCCCTTCCCGATCACCCTCCTTCCCTCCCTCCCGAAGCTGGGAGTGGTTCCCTGTTCCCTCTCCCCTCTCGCCTCGTTCTCTTTCTACATCCCTGCCCCACTCCCGCCTTCCTCAGAGCTGTCTCATCCAAACACGGAAAAATAAGGAATAAAAAGTAAACATCTGGAATACATTTTTTTCTTTAATTTCTCAATCGCTTTGGCTTCAGCTTGGAATTTGATGAGGTAAAGCCAGGGCCTAGTCCTGTTGCCATAGCAATGGCCTCCCACTGGATTTCCAGAGCCTCGCCAAGAGGTAGGAGGAGCTGGCCCAGGCCTGGGCTGGGAGAACGGGACAGGGCTTGAGAACGTCCGGGGGGCGGGGTAACCTGGGGGAAAATTCCCTGGGGTTCCCCCTTCCAGGACAGTCAGGATGGGTCAGCCACAGCCTACAAAGAGGGGATATGTGGGGATCACTCACCAGCTTAGGGTTGGTCTGAAGTTGTTTTGAGGGGAGCAGAAGAAGAAATTAAACCAAGTGACACAGCCCAATGGTAGAAACAAAATGGGTATCCTCCTCTAAGCCTGTAGCAGGAGTTTCAGGGTCTGATATACCGAGATTCAAATGCTGGATTGGGTCTACCACTTTCTATCTCAGTGACTTCTCTAAGCCTCAGTTTCCCTATCTGAAAAATGGGTTTTTTTACTGAGACTCTTGAAAGGCTTAAGTGAGATAATATAAACTCACATTAACTGCTTAGGACAATGCCTACTGCATAATAAGTTTCCAATAAATTCTGGCCATTATTAGTGTGATTCCATTCAGTGTCACAAATGAGCTAAGACCCTGGTAACCACCTCCTCCTCTCCCCAGACCCCAGGCTGCCAGCATTCCCAGACCATTCTTTCACTCCCCGAGGCCCATCATGTCACCTGTTCGTCAGACACTCCACCACCTCCTCAGTTCCCATCCTGGCTCCTAAAGCATCCTGCCACCCACGAGACCACCCCAGGCTGAAGAGCCTGAGGGACAGAGCCCTAAGCCCCTTGTTCAAAAGCAAGAGGGATGTTTCCTATCACCTGATGTGCACAGAGCTAGTGAGGACAACTCGACCCTCTCCAACCTACAACGGGCATTGCCTCCCTTAAAGTCAACCACTCCAGCTGGTCTGGAAAGACCGTGCCAAATTCTAAGGGACCTCTGGTGCCCAACCTTTGCAAGACCCATACCCCCTTCCCTATCTTTGACCCTGCCCCAGCTTGATTCAAAGACAGGAGAGGGTATGAAGACAGTAGAGAAACCCAGTTCTGTCAACCCGTTGGTCAGCCAACTACCACGGAGGGCTGCCCCCTATGGGTGGACAAATAAATGTGCAGGGCCAGGCCAGGTGTGTGGGGGGAAGGAGTGGGGGCGCATATAAAAGAAAAAACTAAATTAAAAAACACAATATTGTTGCCTTGCCCTTGAACAGTATTACAAGGGACATGGTTTGGGTGGTTAGAATTGAAGACCAATTGGCCCAGGACCGAAAAATCCTTCCACCTGGGTACCTGATGGGCACCTCTGTGGTAGGAATGGCTGCAGCAATGAAGGCAGGCTCAGAGTCTACTACTGGGGAGGTGGCCGCAGCAGCTCAGAGGCCCCGGCCAGAAGCCCTAGGTGACCAAGGCGGAAACCGGGAGCTAAAGAATCGCAGCGGCTTTTAGCACTCCCCACCCGCAGGAGTCTGGGGGAGACGAGCTGACCCCTAGGAGCAAAGGCCTCCAGAAGGGCTGAGGAGGGGCTGAGCAGCTTTAGACCGGGTCAGTGGCCCAGAGGGGACTTGGCTCAAGGGGGATCGCTCCTATGGGCCCTGGGATCTATGGCCGGATCCGGAGCCAGACAGGTCGGCAGGGACAGCATGCAAACTGCTGGAAGAGGGAGGACCAAAGGGAAGACGGAACAGCCTGGGGCAAGGGGCTGTCTGGTGGGGCCCAGGGGGGAGCTCTGGACACAGAAGGGACGGCGGCAGCAGAAGAGGAGGAGAAGAGGGTGGAGATGGAGGAGGCGGAGGAGGAGGCAGAAAGCGGAGGACCCGTGCGCGGGATGCGAAGCAGCCGGCGAACAGACGGCCGACTGGAGACGAGGACCGGGTGGGGGCAGACTGGGGTGGCTGGGGGCGTGCCGAGGGAGCCGGGGAGGGGGCAAGCGCAGGACCGCGGGAAAGGGAAGACAAGGGTCCCTCCAGCAGCTCTGCCCGCCCCCGGCCCCGCCCCAAGCCCTCGCCCCC